AAAATTGTTTGGCTTGTTGCATATTTGAACCGATTTGTCCCTGGAGGAGGGTTGCATAAGGAAGTGGGGTGGCAACCCTAGTTGGCAGCACGTAAACGTAAACACCTGAAAGCAGATTGTGAGAACGTGCTGCGAAAATAATAACAAGTCCGTTTGCTGGGGCCAAATTGCTATTTATTAAAAATCAATGTTGCTGGCAACAAAATCAGCAGAATTTAACCAGCCGCAGTGGCATGTGGCAAGGTGGCAAGGTGGCAAGCTGGCGAGCTGGCATGTGCCATGTGGCACGGTGACGGCAATTGTGCGGCTGTGGATGTGGCTGTGTCTGCGTCTGCGTCGGCGTCCGCTCCAACCGGCTGACGTCTACCCATGTCGCCATGGCTGTGCCCCGGGGCCGCACTGCGGTCGATGTTGCTGCCATGCTCCAATAACTGTTGCAGCAACACCCACACACACACACAGGCACACACACACACAGCTTGCCACATATGCCAGGGCCGAGAGCAGTTCATGGGGACAGACACCGGCATCTGGTCAGCCAGGCGACATTTCCGGGTAGTTTGAAGTAATTGCTTTGCAAGCTGTTGCCTGGACATGGACGGCGCAAGGATGCACAGCTGTAGCCAGTGACAGAAAGAGAGAGAGAGAGAGAGGGAGAGAGAGAGGGAGGGGCTGTGAGTAGTGGTCAGCTTAGCCAGCAAGCGGCTTAAGTTAGGCATTCGACCAAAATGACTGCCAGCAGCAGCGCAGCACGCGGCGTATGAGAAATTTGTCAACTAAATGCGCCAACCCAAAGCGAATTTGGCAGCAACTGCCTGCACCTCAAGCGAGGGTCGCTTCGCAAGTTTGTCACAATAAAGATGAGATATTTGTAAAATGTCTTTTAGTTTAAATGATAATCATGTGTAAATTCACTCTGATGGGTGGAAAATGGGTGGAAAAGTGAAAAGTGAAGTGTCGTGCGGGCAAGGCCGGGTAATAACCGCTAAGTTTCTTCTCTTTATGCCTAACGTGGATCAAGTAAGCTTAACGCAGCGCTGAAAAGTAAACTAAAACGTATTCTGAAGCATCGCCTTACTATGCGATTCTCATAAATTCAATTAGGACATAGACTGTCTTGTTTGTTACTCTCCTGCTCTCTCTCTCCCCTTTCTTTTTCCCTCTCTCTCCTTTTCTCTCTTTCTCTCTCTCTCTCTCTCTCTTTTTCTCTGAAGCATCGCCTTACTATGCGATTCTCATAAATTCAATTAGGACATATATTGTCTTGTTTATAAATCTTACTTTCCCTCATGTTATCTCTCTCTCTCTCCCCTTCTCTATCTTGTTCTTCACCTCTCTTTCTATCTTTTGCTATTTTTTCTGACTCCCCTCTAAAAATGTTCGACTAAAAAGAACTCTACGTGACTTTGAGTGCATTTTTTACAGCCTTGGCTGCAAATGTCGCAACTCGACGGAGCGTGCAAGTTGCGAGTTTTCTTTTCAGATTTTTTTTGGGTGGTAAGACCAGTTTATCTTACTCCCCCTCCTCCTCCCCCGTCGCCCCGTCGCATTGATGGCCAACAGATGGCGTGTGTATCCGTGTGGCGGCATCCGTAAACATATCCGGCTCCGGCTTTGCATTGCGAGCCGCGCGTTTTGCATATTAACTAAGTGAAACATTTCGCTGACAACTTTTCAAACATTTGTGCGTCCTGTGCAAATATTTACCTACATGCAGGCAAAACAAATAGCGAGAAAAGGAGGAAGGGAGAAGGGGTGAAGCTGTCTCCGCAGCAGGGGCTTCGATTTGGGGCGCCTTTTGTCGCCTCAAGACGTTTGAAATTGAAATTTCAATTCGATACAAAATAGAGAAAAGGACTTCGGGGCGCATCCTTTTGACCGTATCGCTTAACATTTTCGTTTGGCCAACACTCGCTTCGCAAGGGGATACAAATTTTTGGCCAATAAGTCCTTCCCTTGCCCCCCCCCCCCCCCCCCCCCGCCCCCTTTTGGCGTCTGTCTGCTGCAGGATTTGTGTGCAAAATAGCTAACTGAGAAAGAAAAAAATATGTGTATATTTCGTGCTCGCCTACATATTTATTAAATATTGAATGTTTTCCTTTGCCAGCTGCCTGCAGGCGCACAAATTTATTTCTTTTCTTTACTTTTTTTCTATCTCTATATTTTTGGTCCTTTCTGCTTGCGGCCAGGAGCACCCTTAAAGCCCGGCCAGGATTTAATACCGGCATATCAACCTATGCAAATGCCCGTTCCGATCAATTTGTTGTTGTTGCCCATCAGAGCGCATTTAAGTGCGAGTTATGGCTAGATAATAGGTTGACAATTCGCGGCCAGATATCAGCTACTTATATAGCTACTTATCTGTTTGGCTGGCACTCAGAGTTCCGCCAAGAAAGATCATCAAGATATCAAGCATTTACATGTTTCTAATGAAAAACTAAAAAGTACGCTCTTTTTCAACACGCCGAAGTTCAGATACGCTTTTAGATGTGTAGCTGGGAGCTGGTTTTATGCAAGTGCTTTACTTTCGAACGATTTTCTGATCTTCTCCATATAATATAGAGTAGTTCGATTTGTTAGGAGAATAGTAAAGCTCCGAATTGCTGAGTTAGCTCTAGATATCTGGTAAAATAACAAAGTTTTCTATACTTATACCCTTTCGATCCATTCCTAAAGAGTTTTATGATATAGTGAACCGATCTGCATAAGATTTTGCCTATATCTGAGGAGCATGCTAAAATTCGTAAATCCCAAATTTGATCCAGATATATTGATAAGCCAAAAACTTGTTCATAAAAGAACTTTATTTTTGAACGTTAATTCTGGAGATATATGATATAGTGTACCGATCCAGCTGAGTCGGAAAGGCAGGAAGATGAACTTATGCAACTCTATGATAATAGTTTTAAAACTGAGTAACTACAAAAGTGCACACATTTCATGACAAAATTATAATGTCCTATTTAAGGGTATATATAAATTATAGAATATTCCAGTATCTAGAAGGTATTTCTTTCTAACTGAGGTCTTTCAATTAAATTTAATCATTGTATGAAATCAGACCGTAAAAAGCTTTAAGAGAGGGAGACAGTGAAAGAGAGAGAGAATGAGAGAGAGATATATTAAGAGGGAGAGAGAGAGCAAGATAGAGGAGGATTCGAGTTTTTATAAATGCAAATTCTGTTTTATTTTAAGTTTTATTATTTTTTTTTTCAAATTTTTTAGACTATATTTTGATTGCGAGTTTTGGAAGAGTTTCGTATCGGTTAAATCCGGTTAAGCGTTATAGGTTAACGACCCCAGATCTCAACGGTGGAGTTGAGGCCCTTGCTGACCTGGCTGCGCAGATTGATTTGGGCATAACGATAGCCGGGGCCGCCGGACCACAGGCTGGACGTGGCGCCAGAGCTGTTGCGGAAGTTATCGATAACATTGATGGCGCTGATCGTGTAGGTGCTGGTGCCCTGCAGCAAGAGTTGGATTAGTTTTAGTTGGAATCGCATTTCTATTGTGGACTTACGGAACGGGGAAAGTCCACATTGATGTTCCAGTAGTTGTTCTTGAGGGGAGCACGCACCTCCGTCTGGCGAGAGAGCAGGTAATCGGTGCTGTTCCTCTTGCCCCAGGTGGCGCTGTAGGCCTGGCTGGCGGCGAACAGGGCCAGCAGAAGAACGAAGCTGTACAGGAATTTCATTGTTTCGATTTGGTAGACACTTGGTTAGACTCTGCTTGCTTTCTGCCACGATCGCTGCTTATATAGGGGAAGCTATCGCGTGAGTAACGCTGTTTACATACGACTGTGGTTTTTAATTAATTTTCCCGTTACGGAGAAGTGTTCTTTTTTTTCGCGAGCTTATCGTTCGCACAGGGGCGTAGATGCCGCCAGGTAAATAGAGAGAGAGAGAGAAAGCGGGCCCGGCTAGACGGAGAGTTCTGCCGGGTAATCAGTTCGCTTGATAAGCAACGGAATTGTTATTCTATTATTACAATTGCGTTGACTCATGCCCACTCGAGCTGCGGTTGCATTATTTCGGACATGTGTCCAGCTCCTTCACCTTCTTATCAAAATATCAAAATTAAATAGAAAATCACATTTTTATTCAAGTGCTATCAAATTCGTGGAAGCTGCTTGGCCAATAAAAACTTGATTTTTATTTTGATCAAGAAATTTGCTTATCAACAGGTTCTTTTTCTTCGAATATTTTTAGCTGATTCTGCTGAAAATAGTTTTTCATCTAAATTGGCCATGCTTATCAAGGTGATATGTAAATCTTATCGTTTCTGTTGGAGTTTACATTTTCACATTTGTTTTGCTTGTATTTGTTTTTTTTTTTTCGTTTTTGCAATTTGTTCTTTTTGTTTCTATGCGCCATTTGTATGATCCGTTATGCGTTGCCCTTGCGCAGCTGGGTTTGTTATTGTGCTATCGATGCATGTGCACGCAATGTTCTGCTCTCGCTCGCTCTGCAGCGCATCTCTGTTATTCTTCTTACACGATCATACATTTTGTTTTTGCATGCTCGGCTCTGCTCTCCGCCATTATGCGTTGATCTCGCGACCATGCAGAGCTGTTGTTGCTGTGTTGGTATTTTGTTGTTGCCCATGTCTGCGGGCAAGCCCAGCTTTACTCTCACTCTCACTCTCTCTCTGGGTCTGCTCGCCAATTCTTAAGTCCGTTTTGTGTAGGCATTCAGGCAGAATTTCGCTTTAGTTTTCGGTTATCTCTTGATTGATCTGGTTGCGTTTGTTTTGTTTTTGTGTGCACGCATATATGTATATAAAAAGCTGGCTGCTGCTCCTATTGCTAAAAGTGCATTTGTTTAACACCCATAATATATATTAATACGCATATCTATTACTACTCAAGTGATAAAAAGTGAAGTAATTCAATTAATTTACACATAGTCTATGCATATATGTGTATGCATACGTATTACCTCATACGCAAGTAATTGCAAGTGTGATTCCATATTTACCTATAAGGAAATATGTATGTGTGTATGTAGCAAAAGTAATAAAATGTATGTGTGTCTTCAACTAAAGTCATAAAAAGTGAATAAGTGTGCTTATTTAAGATAGTGCTTCAATTTTTTCATATTCGTTACGCAATTTCTACAATCCGTTATTCGCTGCGCTCTTGTTGTTGCTGTTTCTACGCGCAGATTTTTGCATTCCTTCTTATTCCCACGCCTAACGGATTTTACGCGCTCAAGCATTTATGTTGCTCTCTCATCAGGTAAGCTGCATATTAACATGGCTTCTGTTAACAGATCAACGCAAATTAACAGAGTGGGGCATTTTGTAATAATTTTGTTAGGGCTCTGCATTTGCTTTAACATAGTGCAGAATTTTATATCTCTCTCATCACATAAGCTGCATATTAACAATACTTCTTTAATATTGCTCTCTTGGGTAACTTAACAGATCAATGCAAATTAACACAGAGAATAAATTTGCAATAACAACTTATGTAAGGGCTCTGATTTTGCTTTATTTATTTTATGCGTTTATCTCATTAAGGAGGAATGTTTAAATGATAAAACATTGTCTACCGAACTGTTCATACCGTTATCAGCGCTGTTTTGTAATTAATTTGAGCACGTTTGAATGTGGTGATCAATAAAAAGCTGTTTGTTTACCGTTATAGAATTTGCTGTGATTGCTGGCACAAGGGCTTAAGGGCCAAATTGAAAATGGTTGAACTATAAAACGTTTCTATTATGCGTCGAATGTTATATTTATTTGAATTTAAAGCAAAGTTCTTCGGGCAATAGACCTGCAATTCACCCATTTATAAAAGGAAATAATAAATAATCAGAAGTCTTTGCCCAAAGGTCATTCACACTCCTAACTCTGTATATTGCACATATGAAATCCATGCTAATAGCACTTAAACAATTGCATATTGATTGCAGCTTTTGCCAAAAGTGGCAAAACAATGTTTACATACACATACACACACATATACGGAAAAGTGAATTCAATTTTGCTGCCAGGCATTTTGGCCAGAAACGTAAAGCAACAACAAATGGCCTGAGGTTATCATCGTTATGTGTGGCATTTGTTTAATTATGCTCAAAGTTTGTGGGTTCATTAAAATGCTGATTACTAATATTTCAAATGTCTGGGCTTAGTGTCTGTTTGCGCAGCCAATTGAGTTGAATGGCAGAGCTAAAGTTGAAGTTTTATATACATATTTATGGAGAATCTGAGATATGGTAGCTGCAGTTGGGCTGCGTATTGCCTGGAGCTTTATGGCTGCCACACGGCTGCCGTTTCCCCCTCCAAAGACGAACCCGGCTCTTATCTGTGCTGCTGACGCAATGACTCTTGGCCTGGTTGGCTGCATATTTATTGCAAATTACAAAACCCAAGTCACTTGCTTTCGAATCAAATCTCATTACTTGCAGCAGCCCGACGCACGCGCCTGATAAGGGCGGACAGCGACAGGGGGAGGGACTTTGCTTTCCCTGCCGACTGCTGCCTGCTTCCAATTGCAGCTCGACAGACATATTTGTCACTTATGAAAGGGATAATTTGCCACGCTTGCCAGCGACAACAGCAACAAAAAAAAAAAGTCTGGGGCAATGCTTTGGGATTTGAACAAAAGAAAAATGCCTGCGGCCAGAGCAGAAAAGCGGCTTGGGGCAGGGGGTGTGTATAAAGCAACCCAATTGCAATCGACTGTCGGCATTTTTATGCAAAACTTGTTAATCACATTTTATTGACACATTCGACAGAGAGGGGGGCGGGTATGAGGGGCATTGTGTGCCGTCACTCGAGGGAATCGATTTCCATTTTTAAATTGGGCAAATTAAGGGCGGCTGGCGGACTGACTGCTGCTGCTGCCTCTCCTGCTGCTGCTGCCTCTCCTGCGACTGCTGCCTCTCCTGCGACTGCTGCAAGCGCTGCCTGATAAGCAATTTGCAGCTGGCAAGTACCCTCATTGCGACACACACCCCGCACACACGCCCAGCACACACACACACACACACGCATGTTAAACTCGTCTCGACAATTGCCAAATTTAAAAGCAATAAACGTACGAGCAAATTTCTGGGTTTATGCCACGTTCTTTACTTTTTTTTTTTATTTATTTTAACTGTTTGACAAGAGGGCGGCGAACGCGTGCCACAGTTTCACCCGGCACCCGCCACCCTGCACCCTCTCCACACCCTCCTCTAACCAAGCGGCAAATGTCTATGTCTGAGCTCTGACTGGCATTCCGGCGCTGACTGTGCCATTGCTGAGCTAAAACATGCAAAGGCTTCCCTTTCATTTGCGCTTTCAATGCCAATTGAAGCGCACCCCAAGAGAAACTCACCCACACCACCCCTCCCCCAACCCAACCGACACCCCACAGGGGGGGCAGAGTTCAAAATGCGCTTTGGAAAAATGTCAAGTGCGGAATGTGCACTTTTGACAGTTTCAGTTCATTCGCCAGTCACTCACACACTCACACTCACACTAGCACACACTCGCCCCTCGTCTGGGCTCTGGCGTCTGGCGAACCCTGACAGGCCAGTCTTTAACCCTAAAACATCCCTCACACACCAACTGCCATCCAGACACGTACCCATAATAAAACTTGCAGCCTGCTCAGAAACAAAAAAAAACAGCTAAGACAAGTTGCGCAACTCTTAAATACCTCGTAATCAGTTTGAGTGTTGTTCGCAGCTCAAAAGTATGCTACAAAATGTTGCAGCTGACTTTTCAAAGCTGAGACTGTACCTGCTTCGATAGCTCAAGTTATCGTTTATCGATAGTTGGAATAAGTGTGCTAAGTGCTCTATTTGAATACATAAATGAGAGATTACTCCAATTTCTGCATACCCTTTCTGCACTTAACCCACAGGGTATAATAAACAAAATCAAATATTAGAAAACCGTCGGGCAACAACCATTCCCCTCCCCATGCCCCGTGCCCATGCACAGCGTGTGTTTTTTATGTTTTTAATGTGTTTTGCTGCTGTTGCTGCTGCTGCCGCTGGGGCAAGAATTAGTTGCTGCTGCTCACAAAATAACACTAAAAAATGGAACTTAATGCGACGGCAAACGACAACAAAGCCAAAGCACAAAAAGAACAGGAAGCAGCGAAAGAAGAAAGAGTACAAAATGCCACAAGCAAAAGGCAAAGCGCTTAGTTGCTTTGCCAAAGGCAAAGGCGAAGGCGAAGGCTCTCAAAGGGGCAGCCGCTTGAAGTTGCCACCAACAGTCATGGCCATTGTTGTTGCAGCTGCTGTTGTTATCGTTGTTGTCGTTGTTGTTGTTGTTAATTGCTGACTTAATGGTGCTTTAATTAAATCGTAACACTGCAGGCGGCCACCCAACTTTGGCTTAGAGCAATGGAAAGCCGAATACCACATGTACTATATATGTATATATACCCTACTCGTAGCTATATCCATACCCTCAATAACCAGCCTCGCTCTCCCCACTCTTGCCCTTCCAAAAGTTATAAACTGTTTGCGCCAAAAGTTGAGCAGTTTTTATCAATAACAAATAAACAAATATTCAGCTGACCGCAGACAAGATAGCTTGCTCTTCCTCTCCCTGTTCCTCTATTGTTATTGTTATTGTTGCAAGTGATTCATTTGGCTGCAACCCCAAAACTATGCAATACTTTTTCTTCACAGCTGTCTGCAGTTTGGCTCGATTTGTATCTGCCTGCCACCCGCTTGTCTGGCCCCTGTCTATTGTTCTCTAATTGCCGCCTTTATCATTTGATTCAACTTGAATTATCGTTATTGTTAGCCCTGCGAGTAGCGAACTCCGAAATTGGCGTAAAATTGCAATTAACGACAGCCCCCAAAACAGTTGCCAGCTAAAGCTCGTTTAATTGCAGCCAAGCGAAACTTATTGCCTGATTTCAGTTCTTACCAAAAACTACTTCTGTTATATATATCAGATTCTAGTTATGCAGCGCAGTATATAAAGAAATATTCTGAATTTCCCATTCTTTTAATACATTGGATTGTCTATAGACATGATCAGGGCAGTAAAACAGGTTGATGTCTGGCAACAACTTTATACCTTTTTACGTAGAGCTCTAGAGGCCAAACCAAGAACAAAGAGCCAAACCTTATGAAATTCTGTTCAGTTTTGACCGAGTTATGGGGTTGGGAAATTTCGACCTATGTCAATATAGGATATTTGAGGGTACCATTTTCACATGAATTTTGCCTAAAAAAAATAATGTCAGATTTAGATGCCAAATTGATCTAGAGGTCAAACCATGAACAAAAATCCAAATTTTATGAAAATCGGTTGAATTTTGACCGAGTTATGGGGTTGGGAAATTTCGACCTATGTCTACATAGGACATTTGAGGGTACTATTTTCACATGAATTTTGACGAAAAATAATGTTGTCAGATTTAGATGCCAAATTGATCTAGAGGTCAAACCATAAACAAAAAGCCAAACTTTATGAAAATCTGTTGAATTTTGACCGAGTTATGGGGTTGGGAAATTTCGACCAATGTCTATATAGGATATTTGAGGGTACCATTTTCACATGAAAATAATGTTGTCAGATTTAGATGCACGATTGATCTAGAGGTCAAGCCATGAACAAAAAGCCAAACCTTATGAAAATCTGTTGAATTTTAACCGAGTTATGCCTATGCCTATATAGGATATTTGATATATAGATCATTGTTCTGTCAGTCAGTCAGTCAGGACAAGCAGTTTTATATATAGAGATAATAATACACACACCCATACACACAGCTAGCTTGGATTATATTTCTTCATTTTTATAATATTTACGTTTAATCAAAAGGAAAATCGATTGCAATAACTGAAACTGAAACTGAAACTGTAATAATAATATCACAGTTCCAACGAGTTTGCCCCCTTGTGAACTGTACATACACATATATCGCTGCATATCATCTGTGCCTGCCTGTCTGCCTGTCTCAAATTGCAGGAAACATAATCTCTATTGGATTTTAATACCCTTGCCAAGGGTATTGTTCATTTTGCAAAGCAAATGCTTAATGCGGCGAGAAAGAAACTGGTCAATTGATTGAAGAGATAATATATTAAATCTTAATCTGTGGACTAGTATGTAGCCTAGTATGTAGCTTACATGATATTAACATTGAGGTATATTTACAATGAAGGAGGACATGGCATAATACTGTGAGGTATTTGGATGATTCGCCTCGTAGGTAGGTCGCAGGATTGCAACCTTTGGAGGCGCCTCTCCACAGTAGTTTGTCGGCGTAGCGACTGCTGAGAAAGTGTATCTGATCTCCGACCTTTGTCATGCATTTCTGTAAGGGTATTTAAGCTGCCGCAATCCGAAAATAATCTATCTTGCTTGTTATGCTTTGTTTTTTCTTATTGCAATGAAATGTATTTATTTTGTGGTTGCGAGCTTTTCAGAGTGCAATCAACGTTTTACTAAAAAATATATGCACACACACACGTAAACACACACACACATGTACGCACACGCACGCATATATCATTTTAATTAAAATCCCCGAAAAAAAAACGTGCGAAAAAAATCCAACTCCAAAGCGGCAACAAAATTGAATTTGTCCGCTGAGTTTTACGATTTCAAAACAATGCAAAAATCAAACTGACTGCAAATAAACACGAGAAAAAGTAAATAAATTGTTTTTTTTGATGACAAGTGTATAAAAAGCGCAATAAAAACTAATTTTCTTTAAATTATTTTCGATTTATTTTGATTAAAGCGCTTTTAATAATCCCCTATCACGTGTCAACATTCATTTTGCGCAACATTAATTGAGCGTCGAACAAATGAAATCGATTTGTTAAATGCACAAATCATTAAAAGTTACGAAACCCGAGCAGCTCTTAAATAATTAAAATCGTTTTGCTGTACTTCATGTTCGAGTTCCGGAAGCTGACAATTGAATTTGGCAAGCATTTTAAAATATTAAACAGATGCAGCACCAAGGGGCGTATGCGTAATGCAACAATTTTTAAAGTTTTTTTTATGTGGCATACATTCTTTGAAGCCTGATTTATGCAACAGATGTGCCAGCCAGATTTTACGACTTGCATAAAACATGCGTTCTATTTGCCATTATTCATCCATTCATTATTGCTGCGGGAGAGTCCCAAAACGGGGACACAGACGATGATGGGGTCCCATGTTAAGTGTTGTAAATGGCTGCAAATGCACACACGTCATTAGTGTCGACAATTATGAGAGCGCATAAAAACCCGTTAAGCAGGCACCACAGCACGGCTCCGATTGGCTGGGCGTGCCAGGAGGGGGAGGGGGGGTTGTGAGTGGGGGGGCCGATCTCATGTGTGTGTGTGTGGCGCTTGATTTTGGGGCACGCACAGCAAACAAACAAGTTTGGCAGCACCCGAAAAGCCCTTTGGTCAACTGTGCGTTGTTCCAGTTTTTGCCAGCTCAGCGGGCAAATACACAACGTGGCACTTTTTATTTTTGCCACTTGCCACTTGCCACTTGCCGCTTGCCACTTGCCACTCAACAAAGTGCTGCCGTTATGAAAACGAAAAGCGAATGTCCTCTCGCACTGGCAGAAAAACAAAAAGAAAAACACACCAAAAAAAAGGAGAGCAGAACAAAAAACAAAAAGAAAAACTGACAGTGATTTTGTAATTAGAGCGCAGTGAAAGGGGAAAGGAGAGGGGGTGGAGAGGGAGAGCACTGCAAATGCGCAGAGTTCAGCATTTGACACGTACAGCAAATATATTCCGGCGGGTGTGTGTGTGCGTGTGCGTGTGTGTGTGTGTGGCTTAAAGCCCAGCTGTATTTGACTTAAGTACACGAAACTAAGTAGTTCTGGGCCCTACACATGCCAAATGCACTACTTAGAGTAGGAAGGATTTCAGTAGCTGTGTTAAACTTACAGTTAAAACATTGTGTAATGTTTAAATCAAGTTGGAATTAGTAGAAATTCGCACAGACACACATTTCTATCGCTAGGCATGCCAAAAGCACTGCTAACAGAAGGGAAGATATCAACTATTGCCGTCACACTTGGAAAATATAACCAGTTAAAGTTGTTAGAAGATAATGGACTGTATATATCCAACTGATATTTCTATTTCTTAGCATGCAAAAAGCACTGCTTACAGAAGGGAAGATATCAGCTATTGCTGTCACACATTGAGTAATAAATATTTATACATATATATATATGTATATACTCAATGGCTGTCACACATGGTATATTCATCCAGTTTAAGCTGTCAGTAGAAAGTGAAACACAACTATTTCTAAGCATGCCAAAAGCACTGAATGAAGAAAGCAAGCTTTCAGTTGTTACTTAGTTAAAGACTCGCAATAAGAGTTGACGGCAAGTTACGAGTTTTTTCTCTGGGAACATCATGATGGATCTTTTGTTCACCATAAACTGTTGTGGCTTGTTATTATCTTTTTCCTTTTCGCGTTGCCGCTGGGTAGCTGAGAACGTGCTGCGGCATGGACATCACGCATACGACGCATAAGCCAAGACAAGCCAATCAAGTGAGGCAACAAGAACTGACAGCATAAAACAAGCTGCCAACTGCGTGCAACTTGCAACTGTTGCAACTCGGGCACGTTATACTTACTTACTTGCTTGGAGTAGAACCCATTGAGAGATAATAATAATAAATAGAGCTTTGTGTGTTTTGTTGATGATTCAAAAGGAACATTTATTTAATTTGCTTTTTGTTTTTGTTCATTTAGTTTCTTGTTGTTGTTGCTGTTGTTTTGTTGTTTTTGTCGATTTTTGGGCAAAAATTGAATTTCTGCTTTTGCTTTTTGCTATTTTAAATTGCCACCACCCACAGAGTCGGAGAGTTTCCGGAAAATCCAAAAACTGTCGCACAGATGAAACTACATTCAATGTGAGTGTGTGAGTGTGTGTGTAAGTGTGTGTAAGTGTGTGTAAGTGTGTGTAAGTGTGTGTGTGGGGTGGGTTGGGAGTGTGTTTGTGTGAGTGTGGGTTAGTTTAGCAAATATTTATCCAATACACATACATAGTATACTAGGGTACACATATATCTTAAGTTAGACAGAGACAGAGAATACATCTATATAAAAATTGGGCAGTGTTAAAGAGTGAGAGACGTTCAGAATCTGAATGTTGATAATATTTAGAGGTCTTGTTTTGCTTTCATTGCGTGTGTGTGTGTGTGTGTGTGTGTTGTTTTCTTAAAAATACATAGAGAAAACCTAGTTGATGCATGTATTAGTCGTCGTATCCTTTTGCTGTTTTGCTGTTGTATTTCGTATTTGAAGAGTAGCAAAAATATCCCTTGGGGATATTGCTAGTTATTTGTTTTTGCGAATTTACTTTCTAGTTGTTCAATTTGATGACAAAATATACATACAAACATGGTACATACATTAATACATACACATATACATAGATTCAGGATACGCACAAGTACGAGTTAGAGTATTTTATATAAATATATATGAAACACATTCAGTTAGTTATAGTTTTAAGTGAGTGAGTATGTGTGCCGTGTGTGTGAGTGTGTGTGTGAGTGTGTGTGTGAGTGTGTCAATTATTATTAACTATTTAAAACTGTTATACACTTAGTTGAAGGTTTTTGGATTTTCAGTATTATATTTGTTTGTTTTTGTTTTGCATCTGCCAAGCAGCTTCACATAGTATATACTACATTATAGAGTTGAGAGATCAGAATCAGAGAATTATTTACTAGATTTATTTTTTTGTTTTTTCGTTTCTTAAAGTCAGTTTAGCTTTTAGTGAGTACTCGTATTTGGTAGTAGTAACATTCATATTCATTGATCAGTGTTTTTTCATTGAGTGCAAAGTAAAATTCTTGAGCTTGAGCTGGCAGTGTAATATTTGATCTTTTTCTCAGCTTGTCTGTGCTTAAAAGATAAAACATATTGTGATAGAGCTTACATAGCTAGAGTTAAAAAGCAGCTGTTAGTTTTTTAAAAGAGAATTTCTTATTTGTATTTTCGATTCTGTTTGGTTTTACGATATTTTCTGTATTTTTTCTATTCAGCACTTTTTTGTGCTTATTCGTTTTATTGCACTTTCAACAATTACAACAACATTTGCTGTTGTTATTTCTGCTATGGTTGGATTTTAAGTTTAATTAAAATTTTTTTGTTTGCACGGTTTTTGAACAACTTTTAGTTGCCTTTGTTAACAGAAATGCAAATAATAACAAAAATAGAAACAGAAACAGACACAATGTAGCGCAATTCAAACTAAAACTAAAGCATAAACAACAACAATAATATCTTAATCTAGGCTGGAAACAGGACGAGCAGTCAAAAACATAATAGAGAGCAGTAAAAATTGAAAATAAATACCCTGTAAAAGACGAAAGCACACTGAGCTTTAAAATAGCTTTTTTTTTGTGAGTTAGGAGCTTTGAAATCACGTAAAAGCTTTAATTGAGCTTTAGGAAATTTATTGCATACAGTTAATCAAGCTCAAAGCTCCTCACCGCTTGACTTTTTCGGCGAGCGCTTAATGTGTAAGCAGCTTTCAAAGCACATGAAAACTTTAAGTGAGCTTTAATCAAGTGATCAAGATTGAAGATCTTCGCTCACTGGCTTTTACACCGAACGCTTCCTCTGTGAGCAGCTTTAAAAGCACATCAAAGCTTTAAGTGCGCTTTAATCAACTATTCACGCTTAAAGCTCGTTGCATGTCTGTCAAGCTAATGTTTTGAAGAGCGCTTTCTGTATCAGCAGTTTTTAAAGCTCATGAAAGCTTTAAGTGAACTTTAATCGATTCATCAAGCTCAAAGTTCCTCGCTGCTTGGCTGTCAATCACCTATTTCGCGTTCTGGTTAAACAGCTTTTAAAGCACACGAAAGCTTTAATTGAGCCCAATTATATTGCCTAATTTCCTAAATATTCATCTGCTAAATAGTTGCCTTGAGTAACAACTGTGGCTCACAAGTGCACATTAAAACTTGAGACAGACTAAGTTAGCTGAAGCAGTTGTCAGTTTAATAACAAAATTAGTGTGAAGCTTGCTGTGTGCGAGTGTGCATATTGGCTGTGTGTGTGTGTGTGTGTGAGTTTGTGTGCCTTTTGGTTTGATTTGAGTTTCAGTGTAGCTTAGTGCTTTGAGTCTCTTATGGAAATTAGCTCGAAACTTGTAGCTTTTGCTCATGACATTGGCAATTGATTTGATTTTGTGTGATTTATGCGTTTAACAATTGCTTTACAGTGTCTGTTGTTTCACCTGATTCTGATTCTGATTCCGATTCTGATTCTAATTTGAACTTCAGCTGCCGCTGTGCCTCACTTTGACTCGCAATCAGTCGAGAATTTTCCTTACAAATATGTGATAATAATATGTAATATAATAATATTTAAATGCTCGTTGGTAAATCAATAAATAAATATATCGTTTGATAACAATTGAGGACAACATTTGAGAACAAAAGATTCCGTATTTTGTTGTCGCACATTCAACTTTCTATTCGATTCCCCCTCTCTCTCTCTCTCGCTCTCTCTTTGCGTTCTCTTGCTCTTTTCCTGTGCACATTCAATAAAATATGCATTCTCAATAGTTTACAATCATTTTTGTTTAATTTATTTCGCAATCTGAAGTGTATACATATACTATATAAGCATGTGTACTTGTGTTAGTTTATTCAATTTCTAGCTACTTAAATGCTCAACTGTACTTACTGAAATGCATTCCAGAATACGCATTCGCCTCAGTTACAACGGAGGATGTAACATTTAATCCTCTTAATTGAAATTCAGCTGTTTTATAATTAGTTTTTGGTGATAAAACGTTTAAGGGAATGCTTGTTAATTCAACTGTTTCCACAATTGAACACGTAAACACATCCTTTTCACGAATTACGGCAGTTAATGTTTGCGATTTCTGGCAGTTTACATTTCTAGGAACACATGCAAATGCAACAAATTGTCTCTGTTTGCATTGTTGTGCTTTGAAGTGCAATTGGCTGCAACTGTTGTCGAGTTAATTGGTTTCTGTGACACTTAAACGCCTTAATATTTACTTAGACAATAAATTTCTATATACTATATACACATACGTACGTTCAATTGGTTACACACACAGACGCCAGAGAGAAATTGGTAACAGGTAATTCACATTAAATTCTCACATTCAAAATGCAAAAGTTTTCAATTAATTTAGCTTACGTAACTTGTGTGCATGCATCTAGTTATACAATAAATTTTCCACTCGCTGCCAATGCATTCACGTGAATGATTAGCTCGCAGTGCAATCAGTCAGTCATCATTATCTGCATCCTTAGATATACATGCCCAGATCGACGTGAAAGTCCTGCAGGTAGGACAACAGCTGCGCGGGTGTCGGACGCTGTTTCGGCTCACAGTGCCAGCAGCAGTTCATGACCGTAAAGCTGTATACACAAGGGGAAGCGGAGAAAGGGGGAGGGGGGTTGTGGGATTGAAGGATTGATCGGTCGGAAACTAAAGTTAAGAGCTACTCACAATTCATCGGGGCAATTAACGGGCTGCTCGAGACGATAGCCGGCAGCCAAGTAATTGGTAAGCTCAAATATGTCCACCTCCTCGTGCGGCATCTGGGCCAGTGTGACCAGCTCCCAGTAGAGTACGCCCAGAGACCAGACATCGCCCTGCGTGGTATAGACCTTCTTCTGCAGCGACTCCAGCGACAGCCACTTGAGCGGACGATTCTCATTATCGCCCAGACAGTCATAGTCATCCGGAAAGAGATCCCGCGAGAGCGCGCTGTCGCAAATCTTCACATACGCCTCCTCATCCACGCTGCAAGCAGATGCAAAGGGGTTACACTGACGCCCTCAATCCCATCCAATCCCGTACTTACTAGCAATTGCGTGTGGCCAAATCCTTGTGCACAATGCCCAGCGAGTGCAGATAGGCCAGCGCCTTGGTAATATGGAGTCCGAACTCCACCAGCTGGCGGGTGCTCAGCGCAGTGCTGGATTCCCGTGACTTTTGCAAGTACCTGCAGATAACAGGAAAAAGCATGAAAATTCTCCCCGATTTGGAGCAGCGGGAAACGGGAAACTTACATCTTTAGATTGCCCTTGGACGGATAGGGGTATGCAATCTCGGGCGGGCCGGGCAGCTCCGTGTTGGCCAGCAGAGGCGCCAATATGTGCTGATGGCTGACGCCAATGAGCAGCGAGGCGTCCTGCAGCAGGCAGGCCACCTGCGTCAACGAGGCGCCGTCGATGACCGTCTTGACCAGCGCATCGCAAGTCTCGCCCAGCTTGCCCGCATAGATGCGGCCAAAGGTGCCCTCTTTGATGAGCTGCTCGTAGCTCAAAGCACCCGGCTGCACGCTGGGTATACGACGCAGACGCTCCTTGGTCTTGTCGCCATGCCCATGACTGGCCACGGTGATGGTGCTGCCGGTGGCAAGGCCGCCGAAGAGGCTGCCGCTGCCATTGCCACGGCTGCTCTTCGGTGTGGACATGCTGCAGGCCTGGCAAAGGAATAAAATAGAAATATATGTGGTTTAGAAAAGGATAGCTTAAAGAGAACTGCGATGCGATTGTCAGAGAATGCCTAAACATATTTAGGTTGGGGTGAAGCAGAATTATTCTGAAGAAACTCTTCTTATTGAAGGTTAAATTGAGATTCTGTAGAGATTCTTTCCTAGTCTTTAACCTCTGCTATCCCGAAAGTATTATCATCTAAAACGAAACTCTTTTTGGGGATAAACATTTGATGAGTTTTAGGCAGCAGGAGATAGGGGTTTGTGGGCGTGGGGCCTGACGGCTGGGAAAATGTTACAAATGGGGGGGCAATGAAAACGCAATTTCATCAACCGGATTTGCATCTTTCAGCTTGCATCCGTTTACCGTTAGTCATGCACTTGGCTGCGCTTCGTTCATTCATTTTAATGAATTGAGTTCCGTTTCCGCTTGAAGGAACTGCTGATGTTGCCAACTGGCTGGCAGTTGGTGTTGCCAACGCCGTCAAACGCCTGCTGCCTGCTGCCTGCGCCATAATTTGTGCATAAAGTAGGGAGTGTTGCCCATGGGGAGGCGGGCCACGGTGTGAGGGCGGGTGGGGGGTGCTGGCTGGGTGTTGGGGCTAGAGCTGTATCCGCCAGGACAGCCGTAGTTGTCTTACGGCATGAATAATTTATTGGTTGGCAAAAAGCTTTAATTCGTCGAGCATTATGTTTGCATAGCCTTGTGCCAGGAGACAGTAGGGCGAGATAGGGCGCGGTAGGAGGGGGGGCACAGGACAAGGAGCAAAGCAGAAGCCAAGCCCTAGACCAACAAACAGCAACAACAACAACAATGGGATGCGTGGAGGGCGCAGCTGTAGGAAATTGCGAGCTGAGTTGTATAAACAACGTCTCTTCCGGAGCAGGGGCTGGGCGGAGAGCAGGAGATGGGCGGAAATGGGCTGGTAGGGGCCCGAAAGGCACTCAAGATATATGAAGAAGATATAGAGGGAGGCAGGAGCAGCAGCAGCAGCAGGAGCAGCAGCTCCTTAGCCGCGGCTAGCAGCTCATTTATTTTCATAAAATTCACACAGCGAAAATCATTTGCCCGGCGGGATGGCTGCTGGGAGCAGGGGGATTCTCAATGCACTGGTCTAATAAACTCAAGAAAAATCTCTTCATTTCTTTCTTAATTTGGTGTGGAAATTTACATAAATGTTGGAACAGAGCAGCCACATTTGGTTGTAGGGCAAGCGCCACCTGAGAGAGAGACTGTCCAATAATTTCGTTTATTAAAAGTAACAGCTTTATGCCAGGCGTAAGCGCGACATTATATGTGTGGTCTATAACAATGTCTGAGCGGAGGACAATTGCGACACAGACACACACACACACACAACACACACACACACAAAGGGACAAGGACAACAAACGAGCGGCTGGCAACATTGACAGCAATAAAAACAATAGTTGTTTGCCTTTTGTTAGTGCATTTCATTCATTATTGCCTTTATTGCCACTTTGCTCAGACAGTTGCCGCCCCGCCCCGCCCCGCTCCTCTTTGTGTGCTCTCAGCTCGTTGCTGTTGTCCTTTATTTTATTTGTTCCTGCTTGTTGTTGCTGTCGCACAAAGAAAATTCAATTAAAACGCAACAGTATCGCACTCCATCATCAAAGCTCCAACTCTAGATACTGCTGCTGCTACTGTTACTGTTACTGCTACTGGTGTATGTCCTGCTCCAGCTGCTCCAACTGGCTTTGGCTTTGGCTCTGGCCGAGCTCATCAACGCGCGAGCGCTCGTCCCCTCTCGTCAGCGGCAGCTCGTGGATGCGACGCTGGCGATAAATCCTTGTCGCCCAACTGGTCCAACGACATGCAAAGCGCTCTACACACAATGCCCGACTGCTAGTCAGAGAAGAAGAAGACCAAGTGGTGGCAGGGGGGGGGGGGGAGGGTGACAAGAACAATGCCACCGACAGGCACTACAAAAGTGTCTGCGGGTTGCTCCGGCGTCGCTTTTATGACCCTAACTGAGGCAAAGGCTGAGGCACTTCCTATCGTTGTCCTCGTTGTAGAAACAAGCAACATTTATTTATATATATATATATCAATTTGTATGTTTATTGCTTTTTTTGCATTATCTGAGCAGAGCTGCCCTCTAATGAGCGCAGGTCAAGTGCAATTAGATTTTGTGTAATTGGCTTAGCTTTAATCGCAGTGTTGCACAACGCAGAAATATATCTTAGCGCCCCCTATCAACAATCAAGGCGACATCTCTGTGCACTTTGTAGCTTAAACTGATTGAGAATTCTAAGAAAATCTTGAAAGAGCTATGCATTTGGAATTATTTGACAGTGCCAGCTTGTGAGTAGCATATTCGAAAAGAGTTTCTCCTACAATAGGAGTTTCTCCTATTATTGGAGCTCATTTCACAGGAACCGATTAAAGCTGAATCTTTGATATGATATCTGAGTCCTAATACCAAATTCGACTGCCAATTGAGTTCTTCGAGTGCTGCTATCCAATTTCTGCGTATTCCTTTCGCAGCAGCACCTGCAACAGCCCCGAATACTAGACAACTACTGTGCCCTGTGCTCAAAGCCAAGCTATTTTTGTGAGGAATATTAAAAGTGCATGTCAAATAGACAAAATTGCATTGGCTTTTGCTGTTGTTGTTGTCTCTGCAGTTGTTGTGGACTCTTATTGCTTAAACTGAAAATTGGAAAACATCCGTTGCCGTCAACTGTTTGACTAGTCGCAGTTCTCATCTCGCTTTGCATTGACACTCAGATGAGACAAGTTCAAGCACAAGGGAGTAGGGAACTGGAGAGGAGAGGAAAAGTAGTCGCCAAATGGCTGGCAGCCAGAGAGAGGAGAGAGGGTGTGGGGCAGCTGCTTGTTAGTATAAATTTGCACAAATTTAAACTTGATGCGGCAGGCTGGCTCGGGTGTCAAAGCAATAGAGAGAGAGAGAGAGAGAGGCTGGGGGGCGTTGTTGTTGCCAACAGAGGCGACACTTGGCAACACATAACCAAAAACAGCAACAGCAGCAACAACAACAACAACAACAACAACAACAACGACAATGTGGCTCAAAGCGTTGGCAATGTTGACGTTTGGTTTGCAGCTGTTTGGCTTTGTTGTGACATTTCTAATGACAACACAACACGGCAGGCACAAGGCGGCAGGCGGCAGGAAAGCAGGGGGTGGTTCGGGCTGCGTAGCTGCTGGTCTGCAAATGACATGTACACACACACACACACAAACACACCCACACACACCCAGTCACACACACACGCACGCAGACACACAAATTTCGGTTCTCGCACACTTGACAGGCGTCTGATTTGTTTATGTCACTTGCAGCTCTACGGCTGCCCACACACACACAACACACACCCCGCACAACCACAGCGTTGAGTCGTTGCCCTGCCCCTCGCAACTGGCTCGTAATTAAAAACGCTTGATGACAATTTTGCCAACATTTCGTGTGCATTTCCTCGCCTGGCAGCGTTTTTGCCTGCAACCAAAATGCAGCACAAACTTTCAGAGGCAACAACCAACAACAAGCAACAAGCAACAACAACCGACAACAACCGACAACAACAAGCACTTCATCAGCTACAACAATAGCGACAGCAGCTACAACAATTTCAGCCAAGCACAGTGGCACAAGGCTAAGAAAACTTTAATTACTCAATTTAAACTTTATTTGAAGTTATGCAAGAACTAAACTCAGTTTTTCTAGTGCATCCAGTATATAAAATACTCTCAATACCAATATTTCCAATATTTACCAATATTTAAAGAAATAAATAAGCTAGCGGCAATAAATTTTATGGCAAGTTTCCCTTACATTAAGAACAGATTATCTTTTATAAAAATAACTCGTTCAACCCTGCAGAGACTTACAAATCGAGTTCAAATTTAGCTTAAAGCAGATCGAAACACTCGCAAATCTTTTAAATTTAGGTTAAGATACAAGCCTGGGCAACTTTCAGGCAACTTCCCAACCCACTGTGCACACTGTGCATTCTTCACATTGTTCTAAGCTGTTGCTGTTGCAGTTACACACGATTGCCGCAGGCAACGTTGACAGCAGCCACATTAGCGGTGGAAGGGGGGGGGGGGGGGGTGGGATATTACGTATACGAACCATCACCTTGGCATTGCGAGGCGAGCGGCATCTTAATGAACCGAAATTAGTCAGTTGACAAAAGTTGAGTTTGTGCTGAGGCCAAAGAGCCTTAGCTCGCAGCTCAATTATATTTCAATTTACCTGACTGCCTGCCTGCCCTTTTTTCCCATGCCACATTTTCCATTTTCCATTTGCCATTTTCTATTTTCTTCAGCTCTCTAGAGTCGAGCCTTTAATCAAGGCTGGGGGAATTCTAAGTTTTTTCTTACTGGGGCAAACTCTCATTAATTTCGCATTTGGCATTTAGGGCACAGAGAGAGGGAGGGATGGGGCATGAGAGAACCTTCTAATTGGCTGGGAAACTAATTTGAATTTTCGTTTGATTTATGCCTGATCGATTTGATGCATGGCAATTTGATGAGTTGCTGCCATGTCGTTAGAGCTCGCCCCATTTTCGACTTTCCCCGGAGCATTTAATAACAGTTTGGCTACTTTTTGGGCGCCTTTTGTTGTGGTCTTAAGCATCTAATGCATAATTAAAGGCCCAGAAGCCACGGGCCCTAATTAAAAGTGCCGCCTACTTAACCCACTTTGCCGCCTACACACACAAACAACGACCCGCACACACACACACACACACTGACACACGCCTAATTACAGGTAATTGCCTTTCAATTAGGCATCGCGTGCCCCTGGACACGCCCATCAGCGAGCGCCAGGCAATTGGTATTCAATTGTGGCTGGCAAAGTGTAAAAGGTTTTAATTAATTTAAATATTATTAAAAAACGTGCTTGATTTATTGCGGAATTATTGATTACTTGCGTCATTTCTTGCACAAAACCCAATCTAAACTGAACACTTTAAATAAAAAGCTCGTGTAAATGTGCTCTATATACTTTGAACTCCATTTAGCACAACCCACTTCAAGTCACAAGTGGGCTATGCTACATAGAACTAGGCTAAGCGGATTACAAGCTGAATGAAAAACTGGACAGAATAGTTGGCAGTGGAGTTGTCCAAAAGGGAATTTCAATTGGGAGTTTTTCAACCTAAAATAAAAATCGAATATGTAGCAAGAGAATAAGCTTAACTAAGCAAATGCATTAAATTGAGCTTCGAAAAGATTCAAATCAGAAATGTACTTTACTAATTTCTTCACCATATTGCAGCCGAAAGTTGTGAAAGAAGAAAACAGCTTTTTATCAGATTAATTGCCAGCCATAGAGCTTAAGACTTCAGCAACAGGTGTCAGCTTTTCTTAGTCTGGCAAATTCCTTTGCGCTTAACATTTGTTCTGTTCTAGCTGCTGTTCAACAGCTCAAGTGACACTTTAAGCACATTCCAGCTCTCTCTCTCTCTCGCTCTCTCTCTTTCTCTCTTTCTCTGGTGTCTGTCTCCCTCTGTGCACATTGCGTCAGGTAAACAACACAAACTGACCGCAATGAAATCAGCGGAGAGCAACAAGCACGCATCCATCTTATCGCATTGGCAGCCAGTCTCTGGTCAAGTGGGCGGTGTGAAAACCGCAAAAGCCTCTGCCACAGTCTGCAGCTGACCAAATCCCACATAAAGCCCATGTTCCATGTCAGACAGACGAAATTCTCTCTCCTTGCCGGTCGGGCTCGCCGGGTAACCGGCTAACTGGGCAGCAGGCATCAGGCAACAGGCAACAGGCAACAAAGGCAACATCCGCTGGCGCCTTCCGTTTGCCTCTCTGCGGCTGACAGGAAGCAATCAATAGTGTAATGGCAGACAAAAGCATCCGCCATAGTTTGGCACTAGCCTGACAGGACCTGCATCGAGTCTGGAAGGAGCAAAGGAACACTCGAGAGCGAAAAAACTAACGAAATTCGAAAGCAAAGAAATGCAAAAACTGAAACTGAACTAACATCAACTGACAGCTGTGCAATTTGTCAACCTTTGCCGAGGGCGAGTCGACCCCCTGCTGCACCACGCCCCTCACCTGACCAGACTTAAGCCCCGTCGCACATTAAATTGCCCCCTCTCTACCCCTCTGCCCCTCCACCCCTCTTTTAGCTTTGTCGCAAATGTAAATAATGCGTTTTAATCAAAAGAACAACAGTGGAAAATCCATTAACGGCGTACGTGCCGCACCCCAGTTGCTCCGCTTGCCCCAAAAGGGGGGACACTTGTCGGGTTACACCCCCCCCTCCTCATCCCCTCCTCCATCTCCTTTGCTTGGGCCTAGGCTTAACTTTTCGCATGCTGCGCGCGTCATTTGCAGGTTGATTTACAAATTTCTTTAATGAGGCGACGACAACATTTTTAATTAGCACCTGTTCAGGTTGCACGAATCTCTCTCGTAATCTCCATAAAATACTCTAGTCTGGGCGTGCTCCATGGAAATTAATTTCCAACTTTGCGCTATCTATGCTCCCCTCCTTCCCATCTCTCCCTCCTTCCTTCCTTCGCTACGCTTGCTCACGCACTTCTCCAAGTTCGCCCTCAAATGATGCCATTGGAATGCGTCGCGTAGCGTGGAGCTGGAGGAGGAGCTGGAGCTGGAGTTGGCTGCTGTGTCGCCCCACGTAACCCATTCGCTCCATGTACTTGCTCGACATCTTCAACCGCAGCAGCCACTTACGCCCCTCCTCCCTCCCCCTCCCTCACAAGCCTATGTGAGCTTACTTCTGATCCAATATCCTAATGCCTTTCTATGTTCGCTTCGCTTTGGCGCTGCACATGGCGTGTAGCTGGCCTAGGCACCAGCTCACACTCAGACTTCCCGCAGTTAGTGGTTCCCTCCCCCTCCCCCCTCCGCCCACTCTGACTCAAAGCTTTTGTTGGTGTTGTTGCAATAATATTTTGCAAGTGTTTCTAAACAAGCACAAAGTCATGTTTCAACAGCTGTAGTCTGGCTTCTGCTCGCTGCTGATTTTATTGTTATTTACCCCACTCTTCAGGCCTCTCCCCTTCCCCCACCCCCTCCCTGCCTCTTGTGCTGTAATTGTTGTAGTCCCCACAGCCGTTAGCTAAACTTTCGCTGCACATTAAAGCAATTTGGCCAACATTTATAGACTGATTTAATAGAATCAAAAGGGAGTGGTTAGAATGAGAGTAACCAGACAGGAGGGTGGAGTGAGGTGGAGGATTGGGGCAAAGGGAGCCCCACACAAATGAGATATTTCCACACAAGTGAGCAGATCAGGGCCGACAACATTTCAGTGTGTGCACTTGGATATAATTGTTTGACTAAATGAGTGCCTCGCTCCACTGCCCGGCCCCCGTCTTCCTTTCCTTCCATTCCCTTTGCTTAGTGCTTCAGTTCGCTTAACGCTCACAAATACTCATGCGAGTGTGTAACAGGAGAGTGGAGAGGACTGCGAGTGGCTACTGACTATGGCAAGAGAACAGCAATAATTATGGCAAACACCCCCTCCTAGAACTACCCCCGCTCTTCAGACAGAGGCATATGCTATTTTGGGCTCCACTTTTGTTGAAATTCATTTAACTCCCTGTCGCCCCCTCAAAGCGTGAATCCTAGCAGTAGATACGGCAAATGGACGACTCTTGGCATTGTGCATTATCCCAGACATCCAGATATTCCAGATAACCATGTGAATCCATGTGAGTGCCTCGAACGAGTCATGATTGTGGCTGCTCTTGTGCCCCGCGGAAGCCCCCTCGAAACGGTTGCCATAATGAGGACGAAATTGAAGTCTAAACAAACAGAAATCGTTTGGGCAACAGAAGAGGCCAGGACGAAGCCAGGACGCAGCTGGAGGAATGTTAAGGAATAAGCAGCAAATAAAAATCCAAAGGAGTCTCCATGGAAATTGAATATTTAATTATGCGTCGATGGAAATTGCGTTTGAAGATGGTGACGAAAATGGCCCAAGCAATCATGAGAATGGCGACAAAGCTAGCGAGAGGAGAGAGGAGATGGCACACTCTGTTGTCTAGGAAAAATGTAAGCGTTGACGCCGCTTGGGTCTGTGAAATGTTGTTGCTAGAAAAACGAGAAAAGAAGCTGCTAAATAATTTATTCTAATTTGCGACAGATTTGCCAAGGCCAAGAAGTTAAAACGTCAGAGGGATTTCCAGAGAATGCAGAGGGATGCCAGGGAGGGACAAATGTGTAAAAAGTTTTTTAGGGTATCATAAAATTAATTTGAGGGGTTCGTACAGACAATTCTCAAGGTTTAATAGCTGCCTCTTAGGGCTTCATTTGTGGCTTCTAGTTAGTTTAAATTTAGTTTCCCAACTGGAAGAAATGCAAACGGACGCGTAAACCGGGTATAAGTTGCCTTTCTGTGTTTGCCTGTTTGTCTGCGACTGTGAAGCTCCATCCGCTTATCTAAACAGACTCACACGCTAACCCCGACCCCTCTTTCCTATCTACTCACATATAGGAACGCGTATCTCCGTAATTCAAGTCTGCTGGCAGTGGGTTTGTGGGTCGCAACACGTGCTACGTGAGCGCCAGGCAAAACTTGCCCCAACCCACAGAAACCCCATGGAATATGGAGAAGGGCTGGCTGGCACCCTGGCAGACTGGCTGGCAGGCACCCTGGCGGGCGGCAAGGAGGGTCGCATATTTATGAATGGCTCTTGTTTCGAGTCTAACGCACTTCGGGAGCTTTATCAGCTCGTAAATATAAATTAGAATTTAATTTTTATCGCCGTGGAAAGGTGGCTCGAGTTGGGCATTGGATGGCATTGGATGTGGCTGCAGCCTTGGGAGCAATCGTCTGGTCTGGCGAGTGCCGCAGTTTGGCAACAGAGTGGATCTGGTGGCCTAGGCAACCGACCGACCCACTGCAGGCTGAACTTCAACGGGATTCATTTCCATTTGTGTGTGGCGCATGGCACGTGTCACAACATATCAAAGGCATTGGTTTACCTGAGGGCAGGCAGTTGCCTGCTGCAATCAACCCCCAGGAGGAAAATCGTGTGGCCACAAAATCAGACTTCAGGGCAGATGGCGATTGGAATTGGAACTCACCTGGGTTAGCTGGGAGGAGGCGTAGTAGGATATTCTCGAGGGACAGACAGATTCTGGCTTTGAGTAAATGGTCTCGCCGTTCTGGTCTCCCATTGGCAGCAGGGCGGTGGCGTAGGGTGTGGGTGTGGGCGAGCTGCGGAACCCTGTAGGGAAATAAATAGTTTGGGGATCGATAAGTAAGCGATAGGACTACGAAGAGGGGAGATAACTTACGGTCGAATATGCTGCACGACTTTTTGGTCTCCGCTGGATATTTATTCAGGCTGGCGATGGTCGCGTAGGATCCGGTGGCACTCGGCGGTCGACCTAAAGGATCAAGGCGAATGAACACATTCTGATGACTGCCATAACCCGCTGTAGTGAAGCTGGTGCTAATGGAATGGCAAGAGAACGTAACAAATGAGAGAGTCAATGTTAGGAAGCTAATTGAATTGATGGACCAATCAATAGGACTTACTGTAGTGAGTCCTGGCGCAGCTGCTTGCGAGCCCGCACATACATCATGCTAGCCACGAGGCCTACGGCTAAAACTAGGCCCAGAGCGCAGGCAGCGGCGCTCATCAAAGCCGGTCCCTGGGAAGGGGCGTGGGCTGGGGCCGGCGACTGGTTTGGTTCGGGTGAGATGCCTGGGATGCAATGGGAACGAAAACTATGCGAATGACAGTCGGAGATTGGAAGGAATGGTTACTTACCCTTGGCACAGATCTTGTTGCGCTTGAAGTGGAGCCGGGTGTCGTTGAAGCGGGGAGGTCCCTGCACTACCATGTTGACATTGACCGGCAGTTGGAGGCTGGCGTTGCCGGTGCAGGGCAGGTAGACCAGGAAGGACTCGATCTCCTGCGGCACCAGACCCTTGTGTGGAATGCTCAGCGTGGGTGTACCCAGTGCGTCCTGGTCGTTCGCATATTCGATGCTGATAGTGTAGCGCAGCTACCAGTGGGATAGCCAGTTAATGGAGTGCAAATCAAATTGGAAGTGAGCTGGATGGAAGGGGGTAAAGGGTCAGGTGGCTTACCGGATAAGCAATGAGACTCTGCCAGGAGAACTCCAGCTCGTGCACATCTGCCGGGACGGGAACAGTGAAGTGCATCGCGTATGTGTTAATGGCTCCCTCGTGCACGTAGAACAAATCCGCCTCCAGCCCTGCGAACGCGAATAGATGGAGGATGAGTTTGGTTGGCGGATGCATTGCAGGCATAAAGAGAAAGTTTATTTCACAATTTGCTTTGTTACGCCTTCCCCTTGGCGTTCCTTCTTTGGACTTTCTACTGCTGTGCAAACTTTGTGCATGCTGTGTTTATTTTCCCCGCAGTTGATGACTCGCTTTTCCCCCTCCGACTGTATCTACCTTACAGCTTCAACGGAAATTGATTTCCTCGACAACTCAACAACGGGGGGTGGCAGCGGGTTTGCAGCGGGTGAGCCAAGTTCGGTAAACAAAACCCAAGACACAATAATAATCGAAATCGAATCCGTCACCAGCAGGCGACAATGCAAGGAGCGTCAATTGGTTCTCGCTCTCGGGTCGCCTCGAATGACAGGCGACAGGCGCCCGGGGGGAGCAGCGGGTGTTGAATGGGGTGAGACCAAATATTAAAAGGTGTCAAGTGTTGTCTAACTCGATTTGAGACGAGACAGCAGCAACATCATCATCATCCTTTGCTTTGTGTAACTTTAACTAGCTACGCGAACGTCCTAATCTCTGACCCCGACCCTGGGAGCTCTAAGCCCCTTCCCCCACCCCTCTGGCAGTGAAAGACGAGCTGCTCAAGTTAAAAAGACGTGAAATTAAATTTCTTCATCCGCTTTCATTGTTGTCTCTGCCTGACTCTCCCTTCTGCCTGCTCTACCTCTTACTGGGCTGCTTTATGTTGCATCATTTACTCTTTGGGATCAGACTAAGACGCGTCCGCAAACGTCTTGGCCTTGCTTTGCATTGAAAGTCGCAAATGCTGTTTACTCTCCTCTACTTCCATGCCAGTCCTCCTCTCCTCTGCACTCCACTCCACCCTTCCTTCCTTTAGCCTCTTCACTGTGCGTCTGTGCCGGATGTTGGGTGTTGCGTTTCCGGTGGAGGCAGAAGCGAGAAGCGCGTATGTGATTGTGCGTGCAGTTAGGATAGTAGATAGAAAGGCGCTTGCGCGATTCTTAAAACAATTTCAAATCCAATTACAGAACAAGAAAAAGCATTTTTCGTTAGCTTCCTTCTATTCATGACTTGTCTAAGAACTTCCCCAATTCTTACGCCGTTTCCCTTACTGTTTCATTTTGTTTTTGAATTCGAAATTGTTATGCACCCCGCTGTCTCTGCGGCTCCCCCAGGCTACTTAAACCTTTTACGTTTCCCGCTTTCCGCTGACAAACTGCACAGTTCTCTACCACGGGGTGGCATGGGAGAAGAGGAGCTGCAGCTACCTCGTTATTCATCCATTTAGGGGAGTGCGCCGCAGACTAAACAAAAAACACAAACATAACCTCAAAGTGAGTCACATTAAATATGCACAAACACACGAAAAGGACAATGTCACTCAGCCCGAGTTCGTCCTAGGACAACAATGACAAAGGGTGCCTCAAGAGGTGGAAGAGAGGACTTGTAACCGCAAAGGGATTGAGAGAGGGAATGCACTTGTGTCAGGCTTAATTAATTCAGTTCTGATTGAAAACGGATGTGATTCACTCTCAAAGAGACTTTCAACTTTTCGATTGGCCTCTTTAGCGAATTTAAGCCACAGACTGAAAGCACCTTTAATTTCCGTGAGTTCGTTTTCACTCTGTATCTAAGCACGGTGTTTCTGGAGATAAGGAGGACACCCAGCTTGGTTACGGTTCCAAGTCCTGCTCCGTCGAACTTTGGCCGTCTTTCATATCACGCGCCTTGCACAGCGCCAACTTTGCCGTCGCCTGGGAAAGTTTTGGCTCGTTCAGGAGTCTGCCGTGTCCCAGTAAGTTTCCCCGGGTCCCCCCTGCTGCTTGCCGCCTCTCTAGCATAATTATAATACCTGCGATTGTCTGAATGGCTTCGCCACACACACGTGACGCTGCAACCGCAGACGCTCGCTGGCAGAGCAGGAGGTGGAACTAGAGAGGAAGGATTTGGAAGGGGCGAGACTGAGAGTGGAGGACCGAGTCTGGGTCGGCTTTGACAATGCCAGCACACAATTTGCATAAAAGATTAAGAGGATAATTAGTGTCATTAGCTGGCAGCCGCTTTGAAGGAGTGCAACGTGCATTTTCTGAAATTATCATCCTGACTGTCGCCCTAGCCCAGCCGCTAGCCTCTCTCTTTCTCTCTAAATGACACCCCGACAGGGCTTAATCGTTTGCTTTTTTTGAATGAGCTTCTTTTAATTGCCGTCGCTCCAAGAATCAGAGTCGAGTTCGGTATTTAATTGGCACAGTTTAAAATCTCGCACACCTTCCTCTTCTCTTTTTTTCCAACTTTTCTCGCCTTACTCAGCAATAAAGCAAATCGACACCGAAACACAAGGCTTTTATGCGAGGGCGCGGGGTAAAAGGTCGAGGGTTGCTTTATTAATGTGGCGATTTTCGGGCTGTTTTCTATTCATTAAAAATAATTTTCTTTTGCATTAACTTTTAATTTAAAGGGAAATTTCGGAGCTAGAGCTAGGTGGGAGAAAGCTCTAGACCTAAAAAGGTCCTTTTCCTTGTGGGGTTCCCCGTTCGGGCTCAAGAAATGTGCACATCAAAGTGAAACTTGTTGAAATTGCATTTTTACGCGTCCTTGCACAGCGAGCACTAGAACTTGAGGGGGTGGGTGTGGGGGTGGGGGGGGGTGGGGCAACCCTCCCCAACTGGTGGCTGACGCTGGTGTCGCTGGCAACTCTGGGACGAACATTGCTCGTTGCTGGGGCAACGCGACTCGCTGGAAGGCAGAGCGGAAAATCTTCAACAAAAGCGTAAAAAATATTTAATTTTAATGTTGTCGTCACTCCATCGAGGGAAAAGGTATCGAGTTATATTTATATATAAGTATAGTTAGAAGCAGCCAGACAAGAAATCGTTTAACTCATGTTTACAGCTCGCTTTATGGAACAAACTTTCAGATTGTACAAGGGAGTGAGGTGAAGGGGGGTAGGGGGGTTGCTGAAGGGAGCTGTGTACTCGATTTTTATTGCGGGAATGCATCACGTCAATCACAGCCAGCCAGCAATGAGAGACCTGCCGGAGAGCGAAGTTATTCGAGAAATGTTGAAAGAGGGAAAGGGAACTGAAACCGAGAGAGAGATGGGTTTTGGGTTAGAGTTTGAGATTGGGTCATGCAGCTATGACGCGTCTTCCACATGAAAAAACAGTCATAGAGACATATGCGGAGAAGGATGAGGGGACCTGAAAATAAATCATGCAACGGCATGTCGCACTGTGGATGGGAAGGGGGAGAGGGCGGAGTTGGACGGGTCAGTTTGTTTGATTTCAAGCTGCTTGTTAATTTTGAAATGGAAACAGACCCAGAGGGTGGCAAATATTGTGAGGGAGGGGCTGTTAACTGGTCGTTAAAAACATAACGAGCTCTGTGGATGGGGTGGAAAAGAAGAAGAGGTAGAGTAAGAGGAAGAAGGGTATCTGTAGGAAGTGAGAAATGGAATCTCTGGAAATCGCGCATAGCACAGGAAATTACAAAGAGCAACAAACAAAGTGGAAGATTCTTTGAGTTGTCGCTAATGAAATCCGATTTGCATTGAAGGATGCCAAGGAAGAAGGGTCACAGGGAGCCAAGGGCCGCTTTGTAAAGTGTCAATTGCTCGGGCGAGCAGCTCATGGCTCAGCACACTCGAATGCACTCTCAGAAAGAAGTGCAGAACGAAAGGGCAGTGCTGGATACGGGCAAAGCAAGTAGAGGGAAGGAAGGAAGGGGAGGTGGACATGCTGACCTAGTAACGCGGGCGACAGCTGCAGCTCAAAGCTGTTTGGCCATTCATCAATCTGCGCCTGGTGCGGACCTTGTGTGGATTATTTTTATGCTGTTCAACTAATTGAAGTGCCGTGATTCGGCGATTAGGAGTAACCAGGAGGAGTGGCAGTGGGAACTAGGACTGCGATTGAGCCTGCATAATGAGATGGAAGCATAACGCTCCAATTACACTTAAGTGCCGGAAAATGCTGTGCACAGCTAGCATAGAGGACGAATGATGAACTGGTGGCTAAAGGGAGTCGGAGGGCGAATTGGAACCGCCCCGACTCACATTTTGGAGCCATGAACCATTAATCAATGTGAGGCAAAGGACGCGACGGGCACGACGTCATTCCGCCTTGGCACGCCGAATGAATGCCTATTACTGTAACTATTCTCGAGGATTCGGATCGGGTAGGGGCGAGGCCTGGCACAAGGTCGATCTGGAGGCACTTGAATAGCTGGCGCCATCAATAACGAGGCCTCGCGTTGAGCAACAAAACGGGAAAACAGCAAAACAAACAACAAAATGCGCCGCACCGGTCTGTGAAGTCGTTATCAGCAGGGTGGGAGAGAGGGAAGGAAATGGAAGGGGGGGGGGGTGGCTAAGCATGGCGGGCAGCCACTTGCAGCTGTCAACAGGATGGAGGAGGTGGAGGTGGAGGTGAAGGTGCGAGGGTGGCTCCGGCTTCAGCAGGAAATCGATTTGTGTGGATTTGTTTTGTCGTGTTTTCGCGTAACTTTTGTGGTCGTCCGCCTCCTCCTCTTCTTCCCGACGTCGTCGTCGTCGTCGTCATGGTCAACAATTATTTTGGAACTATTAATTACTGCGACGTGGTCTATGCCTACGCCTCCTTATCCCCCTTATCCCTCCTTGACTGGGGTTGTTTGTTTTTCCTGTTGAGGAGCAATGAATTTGTCCTGTCGCACTTTGCCATTCAACTATTAATCATATCTGTGGGGCGGGGTTGGAGGCGTGTCTCGATGCTCGAGCAACTGTCCCAACGATTACTTTCAAATCGAAACATACTTTCCCTCCCAGAAATAGGTCTCACATGTGGACTTACCCATCAGTTTCATCACCTCGTGGTGGCTGATAAATATGTTTAGATATCCGCTGACCAAAGGTAGCTGCCAAGTGATCCAAGAGATCCAGAGGAGCTGTAGCAGGCAGCTGCGCCTGGCGGCCATACTTAGCTTGAGGAGAACCTCCTCTTCCTACTCCAGGTTCAAGTGTTATATTGATGGGGATGTTTATTTGGATGGCAGACGTGTAGCTAATAACTTGTCAGAGCATGTGACGCCACAATTGGAGCTCATTCCAACGGATCTCCCGCATGAATGCCCACGTGGAGATGGGTTCCCCTTTGGCTCAGCCAATTTCAATGTGTTGCCATTGAAACGTTCCGGAGGCACAGACGAGACTCTTCCGATTGGGCCTGCGCTCGGTTTTGATATGGTTGCCAGTTGCCAATTGGGAAACGGCGACGCGGCTCTGAGAAATGCGTTAAAATCAAATTCCGGCAACAGCAACTGCTGCTAACAGTTCCGGATGCGGCCACAAAGCGACGAGCAGCCCTATGTGGACTCTGTCTGGCAAATTCGGAACTTTTCGGGCGCTGCAGCCTCTGCCTCTGCCTCTGACTGTCCCCTTCTACGGACTGGGTTCAACTTTTCCAGTTTTGTTTTTAATGCGGTTGCTTCTGTTGTTGTTGTTGCTGTTGCTGAGTTCGCCTGTCGACTGCAAGCGGCATCAGCATTTCGTTAGCTTTTTTATTGGCCACTCCCTCCTTTTCGTCTCTTTTGACCAACTGCTGCTGCTGGTGGTTTAGCTCGTCACGTTGGCAACGTCTCGCCCGCTGGTCAGTGGCTAGTTCCAGTTGTTGGTGTCGAGCACGTGTCCTGCTTGTCCTCCTTGTCCTGGTGGCCTTTTTGCGCCGTCTGCTCGACTCGTCGGTTGTCCTGTTCGTTCGTTCCACGCAGAGTCCTGTTGAATAGAAAGTGATTTAGTTGACTTTCGCACAGACGACGAAGAGACGGTGACACTCTGTGGCGCGAGAGTGTGTATAAAAGGAGTGTGTGGTGCGAGAGTGTGTGTGAGAGGAGTGTGTGGTGCTGTGGTTGAGTGGCTTTGTTGTTTGTTTCGAAAATAATTTGTGAATGTGCAGCTCAAAGAAAGTTTTCTGCCTGCAAAAGTAATTACAAAGCTGAAAAAAGATTAACAGCTTCTCAGAATCTCACATCCAACACTTCTAGTGGAATAGGGGAAAGGGGAAAGGGAACAGCAGGAGTTCCTCTTTAGATGGAAACTCACATGAGATGCTTCGACTGATCTTTTAATAAATTCGTGTTAATATTTCGTGTGTTTCTCCGTTGTGAATTATTCAGTATGAAATGGGAGGGCGACCGAGAAAAATACGATAAACTTTTTGTTTGCAAAAATGTTTGTGTGGATTTTGTGGTTGAAGTAGTGAAAGGGGCGCCCCTCCCTCTTGCTGCTTGCGTGCAGCTACACGAATGGAATTCCAGGTGCAGTTAGAACCAGAACCAGAACTAGAACCAAAGCCAAAACAGTTAGCCAGGTGGAAAGTCAAGAGTTGGCATGGAAATGGATATGGAAATGGAAATGCAAATGGAAGGGAATAGGAAGAGGAATAGAAAGAGGAAGAGCGGCAGTCAAGTGCCTCCAAATGAAATTGTTGCCAAGAAACCGACCTCCAATTCCACCTGCCCGCCCCCTCCTCCTCCCTCCTTCCTGCTCCTGCTACCTTCTCCAATCTCCATGGCTGCAGATTGGGAATTGTTTCTGGGTTTTTTGGCCGCAATAAAAATCGAAATCAGAAAACTTTGTTGCCGCTGCCACTTCTTTGGCTTTTCGTTCACTCTTTTTCCACGGCTATGGAAAAGTGCTTAAAGTTTTGCAATGCGCGGTCAAGGCAGCTGTGGGCGTGGCAGCATTGCAGCCGTGGAATGTGGAATGCGAAGTGTGGAATTTAATTAAACTTATCTGCGATGAGAGCGGCCACCGCAAGGATGCGCCAGGCGACGACTCAGTTGATTAAGAGCCAGATCATCAGGACGTCGACTGCAGCTCAGATCCCTGCCAGGCAGCCACAGCTCAAAGCTGAAGCTGAAGCTGAAGCCGATGCTATTCAGCAAGTTCATTAATAATTCAAAAGACAAATAACAAAATGTAAGTGCACATGTGTGTGCGGCTGTGTGTGGGGGTGTGTGTGGGGGTGTGTGTCCCTTGTGTGTATTTGTGTTGACATTGCGAGGAATGTAACTGATTTAAATGGAGCAGCAGACAAACAGCCTGCAGGCAGCAGGCAGCAGCAGGAGGCAAGCAGCTCCCCTCCCCTCAGCTTGCTTTCAGTCCAACAAGTCGCGAGCGCGTGGCAAACACTCGCTGGCAGTTGGGAGGCTGCCTTCCCTTCCAGTGGAGGAGCGTTCGACGTCATCATCGATAACATATTAACGACGTCAACTCAATCATAATCAGAAGGAAGCGAGGCGGGGTATATCTCCCGACCGGGACAGGGACAGGGACAGAGAGTTGTCTGTCGCAGACGGAATCGTGAAACTGGGGAGCCAATGCTGAAAATGTTCTGCTTAGTCACACGCATCATCAGTCAGTGCTCCATGCCTCGACTCGGCGCCACGCCACGCCTCCCTCGCCCACCCGCCCACTGCGCGCGAGTGACAAATTGAGCGACGGGCTTTGTCTTTGGCTTGAAGATGATGTTCGGGCTGCGTCAAGATGCTGAGGATGACAATGTGAGTCCTGGCAACTGTCAATTCAAAAAACTTTTCAATTACATGATGTGGAGTCTAATGAATAATCATCTTTCTTTCCTGCTTCCCACCCGACTCCCCATAAACCATAATCATTATCTTCATGGAATTCCCTTTTGCTAATTTTTGTTGCTCACAATATTTATTGATGTTCATTCCATTTAATCTTTAGCTTTCGGATGTCGGATGTGGGCGTCTTCGCTTGGGGCGTGGCACATCAGACAGGCTCGTTTCAATTATAAAATGGCTTTCATTTCTAATTGAATCCGTGCGTCGGCGAGTCGAGCTAAGTAAATGTTATTGCCCCCGTCAATTTCCATTAGCCCCCGCCCCTGTGTTTCGGCACCTGGCGCCATGGCGACTTTAATTGTAAGGCAGACCACGTTGTCATTGCCGCCGGCTGGGATTGGCCGTCGGGTTGTTGTGCTTTTAATTATTTTAGCGACCAGAATCAAGAACTTAGAGGATATATATGTATATTCTAACTTACGAGTGGCAAATGGAAACAGATTTAATATAATCTTCAATTTCCTTGGTTATTAAAGTGCTTGAAATCTATTTATGGAATTCGGGATTAAACAAAACAGAATGCGAAAAATGCGAATAATACGAAAAATCAACTTCGTAGCGGGAAAGTTGATGAAATGCGATGCCAGAGTGGAATTTCAGCAGACCCGGCCGGCGGCTGTTTGCTCATTTGGCAAATAGTTGTGTTGTTGGCTCAATTTCGAGCCAAAAAGTATCGAATTGCATTTCAACTTAGTTTTATGAGCTCTCATTGTTCCAGTCCAGCTCGTCCGGATATTGTGCTGTGCGTGGAATAGCCGCCGGTTCAGTGCTCAGTGCCCCATTAACTTTAATGTTCTCTCCACATATTCTCGACTATAAACAAGTGAGAAAATGCAATATGAGTGGACCGGACTGCGGGGGCGAACTTCATTAAACTCGCGTAAATGTTGAACACAAAATAACGCGCACAAAATTAAAATAAACACACAAAATGCCAGCCACGAATTTTCTATCCTGTATAGCTATACATACTATACATATACAGTCCAGAACTCGCCCCCTAAAATGGCAGACAAATTTAAAGCGATAAATTTTGATAACTGATTAAAAATAACGAGCGACATTCGAGCTTTTGTTTACCTGCCACGCGGCTGTGTTGCTGTGGCTGTTCAATGCCTACATTATCTGTTTAAGGGGTATATTGGTGCCGTACAAATATCTGATATACCCATTCATAATTGGGCTTTTGTTTCTTCCTTAACCACCCAATAGCTACTGCTCCAAATCTCTAGGGTATGCCGAACAAATAACTTATTTGAGTTAACTTTCTACTTAAAATTCCCTGGTAAATCCCTTCGTTATTGCTCTTTGGTAACAGTAAAGGGTATCTATTAGTCGATAACAATTGAAAAGCGCGCTAAATTGCGCATTATACGTTGGTCAACGCATTTGTAGCTACTTTTTTTGCTGCGCCCAAATCGAAACATTTTTGTTTTCCCAGCTAATTTGTATGGGCAATTAATTTAAATTAGGCATGGTCTTTGATGGTGAGGTGGGAAGGGGGAGGGGAGGGGAGGGGAGAGTATGAAAGGAGAATTGTTTAAGTTGGAATAACCTGGCAGATAATGGCTACTAAAGCTGTCACATGTGTGTGCAGCCAGCAACAGCCACAAATGTTATAAAAAAGGGTATACAGGAAAGGGGAGTAAAGTATTTCAATGTATGGCAAATTAATAATACACTTAAAGCAAGGCCCATATTTAATCAATTGAGTTAAAAAGCAAATTCAATATAAATACAAAATATGCTTTCATATTTTATATAATAAATATAAATGCAAATTAGCATAATAAAATATTTAATATTAATTGCATTAAGAGACAAGCTGTTCAGCTGACGTGTGCGCGTGTGTGTGTGTGTGTGTGTGAGTAAATGTGCATATATATTAGTGCGCTTTAAGCTTAAAAGCTCTACAGGCGCCTTTAATCTTGTACGGGATTTGAGAGACGCAGCGTCTGTGAGATGCGTAGGTGTAAAAGCTCTTTTAAAGTACACAATTTATCTTTGTTATTATGGCCCCAAAATTGATAGAATAAATCTTGATGGAATATTGAAATTTAAAACATATCCAATGACGCTCTGTCTGCATGTCTGCCTGTCTGCAGAGCTTTTGTTCGTGTCATCGTTTTTCGTTTTTGTGGCAGAGCTTATGGGATTTCGAAGAGCGTAAATGTGATTATCATGCAGGGTACGTACCGAAAACCACCTGCCATTGGGATTGGGCCCCGAACGGAGCAGCCATTTGGCATGAAATACAACCTCAATTACGTTTTATAACTCAACACTCGCTGTAGAGCTGAGCTGGGACCCTTGGCTGGGAATTTTCAATATTATGTGGCTGAATTTATTGTGCACACAGCGACAAAGCGACAAAGTGACAGAATCGCCAGCTAAGCGACACCCCTCAGCCCCCACCTAGACTGCGACTGCGACTCCGACTCCGACTGCGTCTGAGACAGAGACTAGGGTCTGGGTCTGGCCAGTCTTTTTATCTACCAAGTGCCCCATAAAAATATCTCGGATTTCAGCTCGGCAGCCACTTTAAAGCGGCAAACAACTTGAGCTAAAAGCAAGACCCCCCCATCCGCAGCCCTGCCCTGCCCTGTACAATGGGCAATAATCATTGATTTATGGCTGTCATTTTGGTTATTAAACTGAAATTTCTTTTTTAAGCAAATCTGTGCTGGCAGTGCTACTGTCTGGCATTGGCAAGAGAAATTCTCGCTAACGAATCTAGGCTGAGGCGAACGAACTCTTGACAGCATTTGGAAAT